TAATTTCCTAAGTAGCTTACACTTGTATTAAGCTTCATATTTCGTTTAGCCTTATATTTTAGTTAGTTGTTTATATCCCATTCTTTTACCAGACATGAAGTTCCCTGAGTTTATGGAACATCTTAACTAAATAAAGCCATCTTTCTACCCATCTTAGTTCCACATATAGAATCCATATATTTATAAAGCCTATGGGAAAAAAATAAAATAAAATTCTATACTTCTAACTAAAAGGTAAAGACTAAAGATCAGAAATATGACTCAATTAGCACACATTGCTGTATACACATACTTCTCAATGGAATGGCATTTATAGGTGTGGTTTTGCCTTTCTTTTCTTTTCTTTTTTTTTTTTTAAATCACAGATGTTGACATTCTTCCAATGAAAAGCTTTCTTGGGTGAAAATGAACATTGAAATCCCACTCAGAAAGAGGGAAAACAACAGATGTTGCCCATCTAAACTTTCTACTTTAATTCAAGGTCTGGTTCCCAAATCTAGATCTCACTGTTATTAGTGACCTGTTTTCATTTCTTTCAATCTCTTTGGACCAATTTTCATAATAGTTCTTTTTTCTAAACATTTTTATTACCATATTAAATATGGTGTCTTGCAAAATAGAGGGAATGAATGAATCTTTAGTACTCACTGACAAAATAATTATTGGCAGAAGTGGATAACAATCTCAAATAATAATGGAAATCTACTCTGAAATAGGTCCAATTAGATTCAAAGTATCACTGAGAATTAAATTTTATATAATAGCAATGTGATCAAAAGGTCTGCATTTAAGCTGGTTTATATTTTTGTAGTTAAAAAAGCATATGATTACATGATAATTTCCTACCATATAAGAGAGTGTTCTTTCTAAACAGAAACACTTCTAATTCATATTAATCTTCCTTTTGTTCATTTTAGCATCTGCTTAACTCAACCTAACAGTTCAGTTCATTCGGATGGTAGATGACTCTAGAATGAAAAAATACTTTGCTGAATCAATTGCATTTGCCCAAAGTTGTCCTTAATTTTCCAAAGATGAACAATTTCTACTTTACCTTAGAATAATCAGGCACACCAGGAGCTTTTCCTAATAAAAAATGAAATTTTATTGACAGCAGCTTGGAATCTCATAAAACTGCCAACATATGTTTAAAAGCTTTTTCTTATATTTCAGAAAAACCAGTAAAACTGTTGGCACTGGGATGGAATGACTCCTATACTTCACCCAGGTACTACTAGATGCACTCTGCAGAGTATGTGGGTGCATATTCAGTGAACATTGGAAAGAAATGTTTGTGGTAAGCCTTGCGGTTACAATACAGTTTCTGCTCTCTACTTGCTGAAGTTCCTCATTTGTAAAAGAAAGGGTCTCTCAGGAGGAAAAACAGCATAACTTTAGAGTCAAAATCCAGCTTGGATGTAACAAAGCTCTGCTATTTCCTAGCATAGCAAACCTGAATTAAATGCCTCCTCATTTTTAAAAGCAGAAAGTAATATTTACCTCAAAGCAGTGACCTCAAAGCACTGTATGGGGAATAAATGATAGATAAATGAGAAATAGATACAAATGTGAAACTCAATTGTCTTACTCCCAGTTAGTATAAATAACTTTAAGGTATATTAATGTCTTTTTTTTCTTATGTTAATTGCAAGTGAATTTCTTGTGATGTTATTTAGAGCTTGGGGAGGGGTAACCTTATCCAGTAAGGTATAATAATCCTGGGCAGTATTATTATATATATATATATATATATATATACTCAGAAGAGGCAAATGAGCATAAACGGGCAACACGCAGCCACTTGGGATGAAGCCCCAAAATCTCTTACTGTAGGGTAATGAGGATGAGGGGAGCTGTAATCACACAGTCCTGAGTGTGAATGTGTGTTCCCATTGTTTCCTCACTTTGTTTCTGAGACAGAGTTTTAGCTTCTAGGACCTTAAGCTTTCTCTTCTGCAGAATGAAAGTAATTCTGAATTACAGGTTTGGAAACATTATAGGAGATAATGGTGCTTGCCACATTAATGACAGCTAATATTATTTATCATATCAGAAAAATAAACCTGGAAGTATAAATAATTGAAAAATATTTAGACCAAGCAGTGACTCAAGTATAAGAATTAATTACCACCAGAGAGTCAGGCCGCAGACCACTAGCAAGAACATTTGCCATGAATTGTTGGTTATTTTTCTTAGAATAACTTTACTTTTGGTTTTTGTGAAAGGGACAAATATACATATGGTAATAAATATTAGTTAATTTATACTACAAATGTATCTACAATCATGTGTTAGTTTTTATGCTTCTGATGAGGTGTACCTTGTATAAGTCACAATAACAAATAGCTCATGTAGGTAGTACATAAATTAAGAACAGCTTAGTACCTCTGGATATGGAGAATGGCAAGGCAGGCAAACTATTTCTAGACCCCTTCATGAAGGCTTGACCCAGACAGCCTCAGTGTTTTTCCAAGAAAATGGTCTTTGTGGGGCAATGGACTAATGTAGAGCCTGATTTTGGAAGCACGTTTCACATTAGACTTAGGCTAAAGAAGATAAGGAAAGAAAGCCTCTCTCAAGAAAAAGTCCAGTAGAAGAAGGATAGCAAAGTGCGAAAATACAGAGGCCAACATGTAAGAAGTAAGAGAAAGGCCAGCCATTCTCAGGGAATCTAACAGATGAAAGGATAAAATAGAGTACAATTACTGGCAGGATTTGAGATACTTTGATGAGTTCACAAACTGAACTGTCAAAAGTTCATCTTGAGCTTTCTAATAATGGAAAGATAAATCAGTCCCTTAACAAGTTTTCACTCTGGAAGAAAGGAAAACGCAACATCATTCAACTTGTAGGGTAGCCAGAAATGAAGGACTTATCCTTGACAATGCCTATTCCTCACCCTACATATCCAATTAAGTTCCTTTATATTTTCACCCTTTGATATTTCTATAATTCTCCAACATTTCTCGATCTCTCTTGTCTCCTTTCTAGTCCAGGTTTCTATCACTTCTTACTAAAACCACTATAGCAGCCAATGAACGAGTCTCCCAGAGTCCATGGCCCACCTACCCCCTACCTTAGACCTCTTCAGTTCTCTACTAAATCTAAAAGCTAGAATGATCTTTTCCAAAGGCAAACCTAACTATATAGCCGTGCCCTTCTTAAAACATTTCCTTGGTCCTAATTATTTTCAGTAATAACATAAAAATCAACAACTTATAATGGCTGGAGTGATTTGGTTTCTATTTATTTCTTTAGCGTCATCAACTTGTATATAGCGTGACCCTCTTGTTCTATGCTCCATACTATTATTCAGTCAATACTGATCCTTCTTCAATTTCTTATCATATGTAAAATAATCTAATATTTGTCAAAATAACCAAATTAATGATTATCACTCCTAGTGAATATATGTATTGTTAGGAAATATCATTGTTGAATTTTTGGTTTATCATTATAAGCAGAGTTTCCTAAACGAAAATAAGTCTTTGAGATTTTCTCAAAGACAAATTCCAAATTACTACTAGCTACCAATCTATAATCAGAGACAGAAAATTGTCCCCATATTTTTCTGAGGTATCACATCTTTTACTTTATACAGTTCACAAAGTCTTTTGGTAAGGATTTCACGTTTTTCACATTCATGATAAAGTGCTTAACAAGTTTCTGTTAGACTGATGAATTTCTTATGAAAAGGTCACCTGACTGTCAGTCTTGAGAAGCACCTAATGTCCTTTAACTGATCTTTCAAGGTGTTTAATGACCATTACCTAGTCTAACAGTGATTATCCAATCATTCACCCCACCACTACCTCTGTAAAAAAGAAAAAAAAAAAAAAAAGGAAGAAAAGAAAATCCTGTACAAAGAAGAAATTTTTGCATTAGCCTTTTTAGAAAGGTTCCACTCTTATATGGCAAGTTTGAAATAAATATTTAAATAAGTTTATAATCGATCCATTTAAGTTGCTTTAACAGTACTAAATTTAGATGAGTAAAGAGCACTTTAGTGGCCAAATACTCTCAGATCTACTAGTGGTACTCAAGCCAGCTTTGTAAGTACGATATGTGGAAAACTCTTGAAAACCTGTGAATTTAAAACCTGTACTTCGTATTGCTTTCATTAAGAGATTGATCATTGCTCAGATAAGGTCTGCTTTAAAATATTTAGTATGCTTCAAAACATGAGAATTCTCTATATCTATATGGATTACTGATCACCCTTTCTTCTATCCTCTTCCAAATCACTCTGTCATGATTATGGAGGAGGAAATTGAACAGAAATTGTCTTGTCAGGTTTTACAGTCATGGAAAAGAGCAGATACTCATTTAAGATACACTAAAGTAACAACAACAGACCAAGGAATCACACTATACCAAAATTCAAAAAATGATTAGGATAATTCAATGTTAAATATTTAAAGTTCAACCACTGCATTTATATGTATATCTCACTTCATTTCAACTATGTTTTCAACTTTGGGAAAAGTTACCTGGTTTATCAATGGCTAAGTTAACAACATTTACCAATAACCTATGATTCAACCTGCTAGGTGAGGAAGTGGATACGAATAGTCTTATTTGTGTAGTCTAGTTCTGTAGAAATTTATGCAAAAGTAGCTGATAATAAGCTTCAGAGAGGGAAACCCAGTCCTTTCCAATGTCCTACATTTTCTGTGTGCACTCATTACAATTCCCCCATTAGCAAAAAGGAGTCTTCAAATATGTTTGTTTAGAAATCTGTAAATTTTAAGGAGATTCCTTTTGAGGTTTTTTTTCCTTCATTTGAAACTAAATTTCTAGTTATTAGAGTACTATGTACAACATAATTATAGCATTCTACAATTGCTAGGACATAGCATATTATTAAATCTCTGAATAATCTATTCCAACTTTCAGTTAACAACACAGAATTGGATAATAGAAAAAAGAATACAAAAGAGACTTGTGATTATTACAAATTGAGTAACATTTTTTTAAGGTGTACTCTGCAAAACTCTTACCTCTTGAAATAACAGTTTCCAATCCTGTTCCATTAATAAAAGCCCGTTTAATGGTTTGTGTTTTAATATCTGTCCAGTATAAACGTTCTTCAGATGCATCAAAGTCTATCACAGTAACGTCATCAATGTCAGGGACTGTAAAGGCCGTGATAAAGTTAAAATATGGATTATCAATATCCACTCCTCTGATTTCAGAATGCCTTGCATATAGAAGAAATTTTTTCATTTCTAGAAAGGAAATGGAAATAAGTGTTTTTCTTTTATAAGCTTGCCAGTTTGAAGCAATCTAGAAACTCTAAAATATTACTTGTTGATGACTTAATGGAATTTTACCACCAGAAAATCATAATTGAGATTTGATGGGCAGAAATGATTTATCTATTATTTAAATTAAAATACTTAATAAAAACAAATGTGAAACAAGTTAGAATCCTTGTCATTTTTCTAACAAGAAATTCTCAGTGATTTGATCTTAAAATTTTAAACAATTGCTAAAACATATGAACTCTACCTATGTCAAACAACCATATTTGTTCTTTGTATATATTAGAACAGTACTGCATTGTATTAAATGATTTTTGAAGGAATCTAAGAATATTTTTTCTATAGTATCTCTGAATAAAACGAAATTAAACATAGATCTAAAAAGTCATGTTCACATCTCTATCAAAATTAAGGTTCAAATAATGTGAAAGCATGCTTTCTTACAAATTTTCGTAAATCTGTAGCAAATAACATTGTGAGTGATGTTGCATCATTTTACTTCCATAGGTGTTTTTCTTGAACTGAGTTTATAAAATAGGAAATTAAATAGAAGTCACAGATATTCTATTATTTCATTGCTCTCTTTGAGATTATTGTTGTTGAGATAGGTTTTGATTGCATAAAATTAATTAAATCAACATGTGCCTAAATTCCTAAGTGAAGATTTTGTGAATGTATTCTTTTCTGTCCTTAAAGGTAATTGCTCTGAAAATAAAAATTACTCAACATTAAAATAAAACAGAAAAACTTCACAGTCTGAATTCATTCATAAATTTCATAATCATTTTTTCTAGTTTAAAAGTACTATTTAAGTATTTTTTAGAAATATTTCAAAGTTATATATTTTACTTCATTTTTCACCCCTTCAAGTCACTAATCTTCTATAAAATGATGCGGAAGTAACTTTAAAAGAGCAAGAGGAGATTAAAGCTATAGAGTACCTCTTTGTTACATGGGTTACCTACATCATCACTTCCCTGAAAATGCACTTTCACTTACAAATCTCCCTGTTTTGTAGAGATAAATTCTGCTAATACACCAAATCAGAAAGTGACAGGGGAAAAAAAATGAATAAGGTAATAAACAGCAAAGTGCAGCATATCACATATTTAAAGAATTTGTCAGTCTTCTCCAAAGTAGATGAATCATCAATAGAGTCTGGAAATAGCATTGCATCAAATATTTTTAAGGGCATTAAAAATCTCTTCTGGTTCACTTTGAGGAAACTCTTAATGCTAATACAATTTGAGAGAATTCAATTTGAATTTTAGATGAGAACTCCAAGAAATTACCATAGCAGGTCTTCTTGTCTGAGGAAAGCTTCATCAAGTGGGGGCATGCGCAAGCAGCACTCCTATTATGATTGATCAGGCACATATGAGAGCAGGGGCCTTTGCCGTCATTAGCTGCGCAGGGATTGGTAGCTGTAATTACACAGTGAAATATTAACAGTGAAAAAGAAAAAAAAAATATATATGTATATTAGGGAACCTGTGAGGTTGACAAGGGTTATTCACTTAATGATTCAAAGTGAAGTTCCCTATATAGCATGCATTACTGATTAATAACGTGGGGTGATTAATATGACAATAATAGACAATCATACGCAGTGATTATATTAACAAAAACATTTTTACTCTTCAAAGATAACAACTAAGTTAACTCCCTCAATTTTCTGCAAGTTGAAGTGTATGAATTCTATTGCCTTAGAAGCAAAGAATTTTTAGCTGTTTTGAGAAAAAAACAAAACAGGAATAATGATTCAATTTAGTTTATAATAGACTAAAGTAAACCATAATCCAGGAATTGAGTGTATCAATGGATGTTGTTGTTTTCCTAACTTACCATATAGACCCCCTTCTTGCCTTATCACAGCACTCTTGCTGTTTCCTTAGGAAACCATTGTTACATATTTATCCTTTCTTCAAGCCATACCCTTTTTATAAAATCAGAGGCCTAAGAAATATTGATCTTCCTTCATTATTAAGACATCTACTTTTTTTTTTTGTACTACTGGCTAAAGTTTCTTCCACATACACATATTAGCTGAGCTCTACTGTATAAGTAAGTTATGATACATTCAAATTTAGAATGGAATATTAAATTTTGTAGTTCATTGTGATTCTCTTATTATTTTTGTGTTTCTTATTCTGTCATTATGACTTTTGGATAAGATTTTAATCTCAGTTGATCAATAACTCTTCTTTTAAACTTTATTTTTGTAAACCATATCTGGTAGAATGAGGATACTAAATTAAAGGCAGAAAAGTGTTACAACTTCTGATTCCACCAGCCATATTTTTTCAAATTATTTTATCTTCCTAACAAGTGGACCTGTTGTTCAGAGTAGTTAATGTTAGTCCTGTAGAGTTTTAAAGCACACAGAATAAAAATCAATGGGTTAAATTAAATTGTAGAGGATATGAAAAATTAACTGTACTTGATACTCAACGTGACTTTTGCCAATATTTAGCAGCCTTCCCACTAAGGTAATGAAAATAATCAATGTCTTTGAATTTGATTAAAAATAAATAAATAGGATGTCTCGATGGCTCAGTTAAGCATCTGATTCTTCGTATGGGCTCAGGTCATGTTTTCACAGGTTGTGAGTTTGAGCCCTGCATTGGCTCTGTGGTGACAATGCAGAGCCTGCTTGAGATTTTCTCTCTGCTCTCTCCTATACTATCTTTGTTTCTGTCTCTCTCTCTCAAAATAAATAAATAAATTTTAAAATCAAACAAATGAACAAACAAAATAAATAAATAAATGGAAATGAAAGCCACAGAAACATTTTCCTAAGAAAATCAATTAACGAGAGATTTTAAGATGGTGGCATAAAAGCATCCTGAACTCACCTCCTTTCATGAACACAACAAACCTACAGCCCGATATAGAACAATTCCTTATGAAAAAGGACCTGAAAGCTAGCCAAACAGCACCTCCATAGCAAAGGATAGAAGGGCCACATTGAGACAGGTAGGAGAGGTAGAGATATGGTTTCAGAAGAAATCACACCTCAGGGACTGCAAACCAAAGTAAGGTGGGGTCTTATTTATAGAAGTCGGCCCTGAAAAGTGAGGGGTTTGTGTCCCACATCAGGCAACCCAACCTTTGGCAACTGCATTGAAGAGGTGAGCCCTTAGAGCATCTGTCTTACTTCCATAGGCTTACTTCCAGGAAAATTATAGTGCTATCGGGAATGGAAAATCCACTCTTAAATGGCTGACACACAGACCCACTCTCCCTGAAACCCAGAATAAAAGCAACAGTTTGAAGGAAGGAAGCTGATATGTTAATCGTAAAACTTCTGTCAGGGAGGCAGGACTATGGCGAGATGCCCTCTGAGGATAGTGATTCTGGCAGGTACCATTTTGCATTTTCCTTCTGTCTTATTATTGCTAGAACTAGGAGGGGCCATTGTTGCAATCCCTCCCACCACTCACTGCTAGTTCCAGTCAGATCACCCTGACTCCACACACCAAAGACACAGCCTGCTCAGCTCTAGCTGACCAGCCAAGCACACCACCCTCATGCACTGTAGCCACTGCCTGTCCCACCACAGCTGGCAGGCATGTACAGCCCTCACAGGAGACACTGCCTCATGGGTCTGAAACATTTGGAGAAGCAGACATTGACAGGCTTCCACCCACAGGACACTGCATAAATAAACTGAAACACTCCACTAGTATTTGTGTGAAAAAGGCCTATTCTCTTGTTCTATAACTTTGGCCTGAGCATATCCAGAGGTCAGAGTCAGAGGTGCTTCTGGGAACCTAAATAGAGAAACACCACATTAGTGCCCATTCTCTTCCCCCACACACCTTACTGATATCTTCCAGAAAAGAGATTATGCATATGTCTAAAACCATAAGTTTTGCAACTGTTGCCCAAATCCCTCAGGTTTGAAATTCAGCATGGTTTATGACTATAAACTCATAAGACTATATTTAAACACCTTAAAAGCTGCTGCCTGAGGATCTAGGTTATGATTTTTCTGAGACTGTGCACTATCTAAAATTACTCCTTTGGAACACTGACAGGTCTTGGCCTACCCTCAGCAACTGGGACCTATGAAGAATAAATTAGGCTACTTAGATGATCACAAATGTCTGAGAAACAATCAAACTGAAAAAAAAAAATGAACCATAAGGTTTATATCCTATGCAAGTCTACTCCTTCAGGACTAAAGAAGATCTCTGTTTCACCTAATACAAATAAAAAAACAAAAACAAATATAACAACAACAATAACAAAAACAACAACGAACAGGATCAAGCAAAATGAGGAAGCAGAGGAATATGTTCCAAATAAAAGAATAAGACAAAACCTCAGAAGAAGACCTTAATGTAGCAGAGGTAAGTAATCTACCAGATAAGAGTTCAAAGTAATGTTCATAAAGATGTTTACTGAACTCTGGAGAATGGATGAACATAGTGAGAACTTAAACAAAGGGATAGAAAAATAAGACAGAAGGAGAGGGCAAGATGGCGGAGAAGTAAGGAGCTCCGTACTTGCACTCGTGCCCATACATCACACAGAAAAGATCTGAAGACATTGGAAACCTTAC